TTGTTTTTCAAACTTGGTTTACAGAAGTGCACTTGAAGAAATCTTTATATTCAACGTAGCTTTATACACACACACACACACACACACACACACACACACACACATGCATTAATAATTACAACATAATCAATGCTATCCCACCTCTTTAGAAAGCTAGGATCACCTTGAACACACTTCTGGTTTTCCTTTGGGTGGGAAAGAAACCATATTCACTTTTTTTTTTTAGTTAACAAAAACATATACCATCTGTGACATCCAGCTTTTAAAGCAGATGTTGAAATGTGATCATCACATTTTATATACATCTATCTGGGTGTGCCATACGCTGACAAGTCACTGAGTTTTCTCAGCAGTGTGGACTCCTCACTGTGAAGTTATGGCCTGAAAATTCTTGTCCTCAAGGCGGGCCTTGAGAGTTAATGGCTTTGAAGGCTTGAACTTTCCCAGTTAAACAGAGACCTATTTGTTACTTGTGCTGTAGCTTCCCGTCTGACATCTGTCCTGGCTGTGGTGCTAGCACTAGAGTCAGCGGGGAGGGCTGGCTGGTAAAGTTCAGTGTCTATTTGCAAGCCTGCTATCTACTTCATTTTCCTGAAGGAGAAATCAAGGTATCTAAGGTTTATTGATTTGCCTATAGTGATTCAGTGAGTCGGCAGGGAATAGGGAGTGAAACCAATTTCCTGGCATCATTTCCCAAGCACGCCAACTCCTTACCTTGCAGTGCCTCGACTGGAAGCCAAGAATCCATCTCAGAGAATTTGATCAGAAAACATATGAAGGGTGATTCTGAAACCACAGAAGCATTGAGAAAGTCATAAAGATGTATAATATATGATAGCATTTACCAGCTATAAATAGGGCCGTGCAGGGAGAAAAATAGAGTCCTTATAAATCCATTGGGTCTGGAGAAATAGAAACTGCTTAATGTTTCATTAAAAATGGATTTTCATAAATTGCACTTTGATATCTTTGGGCACAAGACAATATGTGAGGACTAAGGTGTTGTTATTTATTATTCTTCATTTATTAATAATTTGAACTGTTATTGAACCAAAACATCAACAAGGTATATTTTCCCTCTGAGTGGAGCACTCACTAGGTGTTCTGAGTCTGAGCACTATTTGAAGGGTATGAAAATCCACAGCATTTGTCCACAAAAGCACTTAGGCTACAAGGGACAGTGGTAACTAAAATGCCCAGTTAGAAAGTGGACACTCCTAGGGCAGTTCTAAATGAGAAACTCTTGTGAAGCAAGCCTTAGAATCTGGGGGCCAGAAGGGACTGTACAAATCAATTCATACAATCTCCTCATTTAACAGGGAAGGAAATTGAGGCCTTGGCGGGGGGTGGTGGGTAGAGATATTTGCCCACAGTCAGGGCTTCCCTGGTGGCTCAGATGGTAAAGAATCTGCCTGCAATGCGGTGACCTAGGTTTGACCCGGGGTTGGAAAGATCCCCTGGAGGAAGGCATGGCAACCCACTCCAGTGTTCTTGCCTGGAGAATCCCCATGGACAGAGGAGCCTGGCCGGCTACAGTCCTTAGGGTCGCGAAGAGCTGGACACGACTGAGTGAGTAAGCACAGCAGGAACTAATTAACAACAGAGTCTGGCTCCTGGTTCAATAGTGTTTGAACTTTTTTCTACTACGCCCACCTCAGAGTAAAAGGTATATAAAAAAGTTTATTAAAATAAGATGGGATTGGGGACTTCCCTGGAGGTCCAAGGAGGAGGAAATGGCAACCCACTTCAGTATTCTTGCCTGGGTTACCCCCAGGGACAGAGGAGACTGGGGAGCTACTGTCCATGGGGTCACAGAGTCAGACCCCACTGAGCGACTGAGCACAACCACACATTGGCCATCCAGAGGTTAAGACTTCTCCTTCCAATGCAGGGCTGCATGTTTGATCCCCGGCTGGGGAGCTAGGATCCCACATGCCTCATGGCCAAAATACCAAAACATAAAACAGAAGCAGTATTGTAACACATTCAATAAAGACTTTAAAAATGGTCCACATTCCAAAAAGAGATGGTATTCCGTCAGCCAAGGGTCCCAAGAACAGGGTAGTTAAAAGCACCAGCTCATGGGCAAACAAGACACTGAGGAGGAACTGGGCTCAGAAACAGGATTGATTACTCGAGGTCACTTTAAAAGAGCCTTCATTTGGTTCCGGAGTGGGAGAAGGGTGAGCAATAGCGGAAGGAAGGTCAATTAGAGAATCAAGGAGGTGTCCTCAAGTAGATACACCATGTGCCTCCCTCCCTCACTGACTGATGCCACTGTGGGCAGAGAGCCAGGAGGCTTACCCCAGCCTGTGGTCACACACATCCATGGGAAGAGCAGCCCCCTCCTCAGACACGTACCCACACGCGTGTGTTCCCCATGCCCACACACAGCCAGCGTCCCCAAGACAGTCCAAAGACACAGTCATTTCCTTACTGAGGAAGGAAAGAAATGGTTTCCTGGTGTTGTCTGCCCAGGCTGAGAAATGAAGGGGTCAGATAAGATAAAATTGGACATTAAAAACACATAAGACGTGCTGTGTTTCTAAACGGTACCAGCGTGGTGTGCACGCTGTGGATTAGCAGCAGTGTTGAGGTTCAAATTCACTCAACCCTCCAGTTATATATTCACGTGGCAAATCAAACCCCCCACCAAGCCCTCCGCCTTGGAACTCCTTAGCATCGCCTGGTGGAGGCCACACACTGCCACCACCATCCTCAGGGAGCAAGTCAGTAGTGGGGCCCCCCCACTGCTCACAGCACCCGTCCGAAATAAGCAGAGGGCTAGCCTTTGCTTCTGCCCTGCCAAAACAAAACAAACAAACAAACAAAGAGCCTCTGCCTCATGGCGATTTCTAGGAGAACTGATTCATCTCCTTCCCTCGGAGTCGGTCCCTCCATCTCTTTCCCCAGAGCGTCAAGGAAGCCAAGGAGGGGGCATGGCGGGGCCTGGGCCGTCCGGCCTCCTGGCCCTCCTCCGCAAGATCAGATCACAGAGGCTCAGGCACCTCCTTCTTCCTGTCGGCCTTCTCCCAAGTGTCTGGCTCCAACTTCTTTCCTTCTGCTTTTGTGGCCCGTTTTCTTCGTCTTCTCGCTCCTCTTTGTCCTCAGTCACAGTGAGGGAAACAGCCACACTGAAGCTGGGAGGGATGCGTGCGGCAGGCAGTCCTGCTTTGGTGCTCCCGGCAGAGGAGGAAACTGACGGCCTGGGGCCCAGAGCGGAGGCTCCCGAGGGGAGGAGAGCGGACAGCCAGGCTGGAGGGGGGTGCTCCCCCGGAACAGGTGGGCTCAGGGCCAGGAACACGGGGTTTCAGCACATACAGTGGTCCTCTGAATACTGTTTCGTCTTCTATTTGCCTCCGTTTCTCTTCAACAGGCCACATCCCCTCATTTGGTTGCAAAAGCTATGATAGCTCTTAGCCTTCACCGCCACCATCGGTGGGAGCTATTAATGGCTCTGACGTTTGACCTTTAACAAGTGGGAAATACAGAAGGTTCAAGGTTGCCAAATGGCAGAGTTCCTAGTTACAGTTCCTAAGGAAGCAAGGACCACGTTGTTAATTAGCTCTAAGCCTTGATGCTGCTATTCGCTGTTTCCCAGAGCCTTCTACGTTGGGATTAGAATCAGTGGGAACACACCACTCAATAGCAGCTGTCCCTCCATCCCACCCATGCTTGGGGATCTCAAGGCTCCAAGACTCCTAACACCGACATAAACACTGCACATGTAACAGAGACGAGAACCAAGGGAGACAGCCACAAGCCTGCAGTCTAAAAACGTGGCAAGGACTTGGGATCCAGACAGACATCTCTGAGCCTCAGTTTTTTCATCAACAAAGTGGAAGTAATAACACTTACTTCCTGGGATGTTTTTTAGGCCTGATTGTGTTTACACACCATCTGGCATTCCAACATACTAGTTTCCCCACTCCCCTTGTCCAAAGCTGGTCCGTGCCCAGACATCTCATGTGTTTTAGGTGTCATGAGCTGAAGGAGCTGGTCCCCCTACCCAAGAGGAATGGCTATTTGTTGCAGAGTTGGCTGTGAATGGATTTACAGTCACTTGGTTGGTAGAGCTGTGACAGGTATGATCTAGGAGTGGTGGCTAGTGGTCTTTCACTCCACTCTTATCAAGGGAAACCAGGAGAAACTCACATCCACTTGTTCCAGCTCCTCTTTTTTTCTTTTTTGTAATGGAGAACACAAAAAAGCATAAGGTCCATGTGGCAGTTATTGATTTGGGCCATCTGGTAAGCTCGGACTTGCTCCTACCATGTTGGATCAGAAGCTACTCGAAACAGCCATTCTTAACCATAAGAGATGCGTCAGTCAGATGGGGATGGGGTGGATTTCATTACAGGGCGGGGACTGCAGTGAGAGGAAGCCAGAGCAGGACTCCGAGGGTTTGCCTGCAACAAAGACCAGAAAGAACCAAGAAAGTGCTGATTGACATAGGGGCACCGGGATAGACAGTGCCCCCATTTTCTCACCCATCCATGGAGCAGGGAGACCTCTAAGTAACTATCAAAAACAATCATGATGCACTTTGTGATGATAAAATGCCCTGCAGATCTTTCTATATGCTGAAACCTGAGCAAGCAGGAAAATTCAGGTTCAAGCTAAGGAGAGAGGTCCACAAGCCCTAAAAGATGACATTGTCGTTCTATTTTTATTCCCCTTCTCTCTTGGCTTCTGAAAGTGTTTTCCTTTTCATGGTGCCTTCCTCTGCTTGCTCTTAGGCCCAGAGGCAAAATTTTTTCTTGCCTCCAAAAGTGTTTGTGAAGACCATGTATTGTTTTCAAGTTAGAGCAGTGTGAGAAATTACCTTTTTTTTCTTCCCCCACGGCATTTCTAAAACAGCCCCAGACTACAAACCCACTGATTATTTTTAAGCTTAAGGGAAATAACATTGAACAGAGCTGACCCCACTCCGTCAAAGACTGCCTGGCTCAACTACACACAGGGATTTCAATAACATGGACTGGCGTGTGATGTTACAGGTCTTCCAAGCCAACAACGATGCCACGGAGGTGGTTCTGAACAAGCTGCACTCGCTGCTGCTGACACGCTTCGTCAGGGTCCGCCCGCAGACCTGGCACACGGGCATCGCCCTCCGCCTGGAACTCTTCGGCTGCCGCGTCACAGGTAAAGTGGGGTCGCTGTGAGGCTGGAGAGCGAATTGAGTCCTGGACTCTGCTTCCACTTCCAGCCCTGTGCTAACAGCACGGTTGCTGCACGTGGCCTTCACAGGAGACTCGATTTTACCTGTGTGGGTCTTGAATGCACACGAAGTCTGGCCCCTGCCTTGCTGGGTAACATGTCTTCAGGCAACCTCCACTCTCTCAATGGCTGCATGAATACTTATAGAAGGCCCCCTGTGTGCCGGACCCCACGCTGGGAGCTGGAGATGAAAAAGAGACGGGAATGAACAGATAGGGTCCCTGGCATGGCAGAGCGTTCAGGCTGGGGGGCAAGACAGATAATAAACAAATGGGGATAACTTTGTGAAGGAAGAGGATGAGGTGCTCTGAGAGTGACTGAAGGAACCTCTTGGAGCGTTGATCAAAAGTTTGGGGACAGCCTTTCTAAGGATGTGACACTTAAGGTCTGGGCTGAGTAAAGGGTGGTCTGATGGTAACTGAGGGGAACAGCATTTTGGGTAGAGGGAACAGCAAGTGAGAAGGATGCAAGGCAGAAAAGAGCTGTGATGATACATATGGAAGTAAAGACCTAACCCCACGAAGGGTTCCATCTAGATGGGCAAACAACCACCCAGCTTAAAATTCAATGCTCAGCACAGCTCCCCTATGCTCACCACCCCCAGGAGGGCTAGTGGGGACTGTCACCAACAAGGATGTGAGAGCCCTTGGCTAACAGCGTAAGATGCTCAGCCATGCCAGGCACTGTGCTTTTCATACAGTAACTAACAGAATCAGTAACTGACTTTTATATAGTAACTAATGGAATCCTTGCAACAACCCCCAAGAAGTAAGTACTACTGTTAATCCTCCTTTAGGCCTAGGGAAACTGAAGCACAGAACACGTCGATCATTTTCCCAAAGTCACACAGCTAGTAAGTGACAAAGCAAATGGGAATCCAGGCAGTCTGGTGCCCAGCCGTGCTCTTAGCCACAGTGCTATCCCACCTTGAAATGCAGAGAAGTCAGTGCTGACTTACAGAGTTGGCCAGTCGGGTTCTTTGGCAGCTCCCTACTGATGGGGGTGGCCCCAGTTAACAGGGCACCAGCCTGACCTCTTGTATCTTCCTCTTCTGCAGACGCCCCTTGCTCCAACATGCTGGGGATGCTCTCGGGGCTCATCGCCGACTCCCAGATCTCTGCCTCCTCCACCCGTGAGTACCTCTGGAGCCCCAGTGCGGCCCGCCTGGTCAGCAGCCGCTCAGGCTGGTTCCCTCGGATCCCTCAGGCCCAGCCAGGCGAGGAGTGGCTCCAGGTGGACCTGGGAGTGCCCAAGACCGTGAAAGGCGTCATCATCCAGGGGGCCCGTGGAGGAGATAGCATCACTGCGGTGGAAGCCAGGGCGTTTGTGCGCAAGTTCAAAGTCTCCTACAGCCTCAATGGCAAAGACTGGGAGCACATCCAAGACCCCCGGACCCAGCAGCCAAAGGTAAGATATTCCCAGAGGACTCCCTAACCTTGCCCCACAAAGGGAGGTTGATCTGGGGCGGGCTGGGGTGTCGATTTCCCATCTAGATGGTCATCACCAACTCCTATGAGCCAGTCAAACAAATGTTAACTGAAGGATACTTTGTGCCAGGCCCTCTGCTAAACACCTTTTAATCCTTACAACAGGCTTCCGTAGTGGCTCAGACAGTAAAGAACCGGCCTGCCAGTGCAGGAGACATGGGTTCTATTCCTGGGTCAGGAAGACCCTCTGGAGAAGGAAAGTGGCAACCCACTCCAGTATTCTTTCCTGGAACATCCCATGGACGGAGGAGCCTGCGGGGTTACAGTCCATAGGATCACAAAGAGTCAGACACAACTGAGCAGCTAAACAACGAAAATCTTTATAACATTTCTAGGAGGTAGATCTTACGGCCCCTCCCATTTCAGAGGTGACAAAACTGAGGCTTGATGCCATGTCCAGGGTCACGCAGTACCTGTGGTAGAGCCATGATCCAGAGCACAAACACCTAACCACTACTGCACACCACCTTTCTAGTAACTTGCACACTCTTAATACCCTCTTTCAGATAAAGTTTCCTTGGAACTGGCCAGATATTCAAAGGGGATGTGGTTCTTGGAGGCTCAGCTATAGCAACTTAGGGAATGACTTCCAAAAACAACTGTGTGTTTCTGAGTGTTGCTGAATTTTGTATTTTGCTGGGCTTGAGTGCTTAGATCTTTCCTGCCTCTCACAGGGAGACTGGAAAGAGGCAAATGAAACTAACTCCAGGCCAGAAGTGCAGGCCAGCGTCGCCCACTCTGTCCTGCCATTGTAGGAGTAAAGGTCAGCCCTGAACAGGGGGCACCAGGGTGCTCCAGGAAAGGGAGGGATGTCATGCCCCCGTCCCTCTCCACGTGAATCTCCCAGTCAGCCTGGGGCACCAGTCCTCATCGCTAAGTTAACTCTTCATTTTTTGCAGAAGATCAGGCCTCTAGTAAGGAAGGGGTATCTCGTGTCTCTGTTCGGGGTGGCGGGGGGGGGCCTTTACTAAGCCAGCGTTTCCATTCTTAATGCAGAGGCAAGGGCTGGGCTGGAGGTTTTGCAATGCTAATGTAAACTCCCAGCTCCTGATTCCAGTGGCTTGAAAGGGCTCAGGGCTTGATAACTGGAACCTTCATTGGATGGAACACAAGAGTTGGACCACAGGCTCCCTCCCCCAGGGACAGCTGACCTTGAGTCTTCTTAACCATTCTGAGGGCCTGGGAAAGGAGATGATCTTAGCCAGGCTCAGAGCCTGCTCTCCCCATGACAGTGCCCAGCTTTTGGAATTGTGGGCCTTCCGCCACATTCCTGGATGCAGATCAGCCACAGCCCCTGGCACACCTATGCACTGCCTTTCCCTAAGTCACTGGTTCTCAGTCGTGCTCTGGGTTGGGTTCCCCACGTGACTTGAGCCAGGGCAAGCCCAGCGGTCATCAGCTTCATGTAGTCTGGCTTCAGGTGAGGTTTATTTTGACAGAATGTCTTCTACTAAACCAAGGTTGGGGGAACACAATCTCAGACTGTCAACATGTGCCCAGCAGAAACAGTCATCAGCCTAGAGGAAGGATGGTCACTTTCCCTTCAGCCTCTCGGTGACCTGGAACTTTCTGAGTCGAAATTGTCAAGCTGGGAGTTTCTAAATCTAGACTCTTAAGCATCAGGGAAAGAACTTCTTTTTCTAATAAACGGAGAACTTCAGAACAGGCAAGACAGTCTGCATGCCCTTTCCTCCTCCCTGGCCAAGTACAGCTTCAGACTCACTCAGAGCCAAATTCTGCATTTTCAGTTTCACTCCCAGGATAGAGAACAGAACCCAACCACTGCCACTCTCGTCTGCTCCCTATTTGCCATGTTTCTGGGACCTCCCAAATGAATAAAAACCTTGGTCTGAGAATGGGGCTCCCTCAGACCGAAATGTGCAGCGACCACGGGTTAACTCTGAAGCAGACTTCCAGCCGGATGTAAGGGGTGGGGCGGGATGGCGGAGGAAGGATCAGAAGGGAGGGGTGAAGAGGCGTCCACCCAGGAAGGGCTGAGCGGCCTTGTTCCCCCTGCAGCTGTTCGAAGGAAACATGCACTATGACACCCCTGACATCCGGAGGTTCGACCCTGTCCTGGCGCAGTACGTGCGGGTGTACCCGGAGAGGTGGTCGCCCGCAGGCATTGGGATGCGACTGGAGGTGCTGGGCTGTGATTGGACAGGTAAGGCCCCCTTTCCCCTTCAGGTCTCGCTCACACGGTCTCCTGACCCCAGCTTCCTGGGACGGCCCGGGAGGCGGTCAGACTACGATGGGGACAGACAGAGAGGCAGCCATCCCTCGTGAAGCCCCATCAGTTCACAACCCCACTCCCCACTGCCTGCCCTGCGCCCCACCTTATTCGACCTCAAACCACGGGCCCTGCCACCTCTGGACTTGGGACAGTTTCTCAAGGGATGTGGTCTGTCGATTTTAAAGGATCATTCCAGTCCTCCACCCCAAGTCTCTCAAAAACAAATCGTAACCACACACCACCCACCCAAATTCAATTAGACCCTGACTCTTCAGGCCAGAGGGCTGTGGCTGTTGATTTAGGGAAGGGGAAGAAAAAAAAAAAAACCTTGCTCATGATAATAAAGTAATCGGTTTATGTCTGAATCTGGCCTCCAGATGTCAGTGGCTAAGAGACTTCATTTTCATTTCGAAGCTACATCTGTAAAAGGCATTTATTTGCTCGGGAGGGACCCTGTTGCGGGGGAGCTGCTGGGAACCCGCCTTCTTCCCCTTGTGCGGCAGAAGCCTGGCTGGGTCCCGCCTCCACCCAGCAGTGGCCCCGGAGCATCTCCAGAGTCTCCTGAACAGGATGAGGCCCACTGATCACGGCCACCCTCCCTGTTCCCTGGGAAGCACCCCATCCATCCTTCTGAGTAGGGCCTCCCTCCCCTGCAGGCCCCGCCCTCCTCCTGGGCAGAGCTGGCACGGATCTCAGCTAAACCAGAGCTGAGCTGGCGCGCCGAGCCAGAGACAGCAGGAGCTGCAGGCAGGACCCAGGCCCAAGGTATCTCCATTTTCCTGTCTGTAAGGTACCTGTCAGCAGCTCACCCAGCAGGGGAAGGTGAAGGATTAATAAGGGCATGTCGGAGAAGTGCTTTTGGCTCCCAGGGAGAAAAATGCTGCCTGTGTGCTGTTGCCGTGGCGCCCAGGAGGTGTCCCGTTGAGGCGTGCCGGCTGGGAATCCGGCCGAATTAGCCTTTCTCACCTCCAGATGGAAGGCAGCCAGGGTGAATGCATTTTAGTGGGAAGACACTTTACTCCCCGTCATGAAGGAGTGAGGCCAGGTTCCCTGCAGCCCGCTGGGTGCGCCTCACCTGTCCTCTTGCAGCCGCTGAAAACGGTCCTCCAGCAGTGACCCAGGCTGGCTGCTTCTGGCCAGCATCAGAGCATTAGAGGTACAGAGGACCCGAGGGCTGCAAGGCCAGTGACTTTCAAGCGTTTCTGACCATCATCTGCAATTTAAAATAAATTTGTATCATGACCCACTTGACTTACAAGCATGAGTACACACACAGGCACACACTACCACGTGTGTGCATATGGAATATAGAATATCATTAACCTAGCCTGGACTCTAGGGACAGATTGCCAAGTTCAAGTCCGGCCTCTGCCGATCTCGGTTTTCTCAGCTGAAGAACAGCGGTGACCGTAGCTTATCTACACCCCTCATGGTTGTCATGAGGATTCAATAAAATGATAAAGTACTTAGCCTACTGCCTGGCAGCTGATAAACTTGTTATAATAAGTAAATGTGATTGAAACAAAAGTTCCCAAAGCAGTGCTAACACATGAGTACACTCTGAAATATCATAGTCCCTTGGAGTCCCTATTTTAAAATGCTAGTCCTACCCACGAAATTGATCCATAACCTGTTAACAGGGTGACATACAGCTTGAAAAAGATCACCGATCTAGGAGGGGGAAACTGAGTCCCAGGGAGAAGAGCCACTTGCTAGAGGCCACTCAGCTAGCTGAGAGCTGACTCATACTCCACTCCTGTCCCGGTACCCCCGTGCCACGCCTCTCCCGGGCTGGCCCGGCTTTATGACCGACTGAACAACCGCTAATGGCCTTACTACCCCTCCCAAGCTGGCCCAGATGACACTGGAGATGGTCAGCAACAGGTTTCTCATTTCAAAGTCCTCCTGGCCATTCTCTGGAAGATCAGAGTAGGACCTCGACACCCTCCGCCCAGCCTCCTTCCCTTTGAAGTCTCTGACATCTGGTTTCAATTGCCGGGGAGCGTAACGTGATGGGCAGTTATCTCTAAGTGTCCAGTACAAACACAGTGGACACGGAGGCCGCTGTCATCCCCTCACTTTCATTCACGTGTCCTGCCCTCTCACAGCCTAGCCCGCCCCCCTTGCCACTGGATTTAACATTTTACATCTCTGCCAAAAGCTCACCCACTCTGACATTTCCTGGAATTGCTCTCCCAGGCCTTGTGGCTTTCTGCTTTTCACATTTCCATTCATTTCTGCGATTCACCTTTGTTCCCTTCTTCCTTTCCACCCCAAAAGGATAACAGGGAATAGAATGGGCTGGGTTGAGTTGCTGCAGCTAAATAATTTGCCAGGGCTACTTCACCTGTTCGTTTGTTTCCAATGATTACTTCTTGCCTTGCTGCCGATAGATGCTTTACAATGGTGTTGGACATTCTGTGACATGGTGACAAATTTGAACTTACAAATTAGGACGCTTTGAGGTTGTTTGCTATTTACTGTGAGTGAGAGGCAGACATGGCAAAAGGAAGTATGAAAGGTTATGCTCATAGTATTTAATAGCAGAAAGATGGGAAGTCGACCGTGAAAAAGCTATTCAGCGCGTTTAGTGATTTCCTTCTGCTCCTGGCTTTATTAAATGGTATTCTGAAGGGTGCTGACAAAGATGCCTAATTACATACAGTAGCACACACACACACAAAATATATATATATATAGAAATGGTAGGAGCCATGCACAGGTTTTTTGGGGAGTCTTATTGGAGGCCAGCCCCGGGATGAAGACCCCACCTCACAACACGCAGACTTAAACCTCGGTTTCCAGCATTCCTTGGGGCCCCACCTAGCACCTGACCCATGCTTTCATTCACTTGGTTGCTGAATGAATGACTGGCAGCAACAAATAAACAAGTGAATGGATGGGTGAATGAATCACCTAGAGCCGAGGGCAGAACTGACTGCCTTCAGCCAGATTTGCCCAGCCAGGTTTGGTTGCCTGCTCCTCATATTTTGAATCAGTTACCAACATTGACAAGTCTGAAGATTTTCCCTGGGGTTGGTGTAACGTACAGTTCCGGCGAGGCAGAAAAGGAAAGAAGACCTCAACAGAAGTAGGTTACCTTTATTCAGGCAAGGAGGGGCAACAGTCGGCCTAATGACCAGGCTGAGCGCTGAGAGGGACCAGGGAGGCTCCACACTTACAGGGAGGTTTGTGGAAGCAAAAAGGGACACATCAATCAGGCGGGATATTTTGAGTATTCTTTTGTTGAGATGACATTTGTAGTTGGGCAGGGGGTGATAAGTCTTCTGGGCGGGTGTAGGGGGTGGTAGGTTTGCGGACAGGGGGTGATAAGTCCCAGATAGATGCAGCCAGCCTGGAGCATCAGGGTGGGACTAAAGTTATACTTTGTTTTCTCCAAAGTTAGATGATTCAGCAAGGGGCCTTTGAGACTGTTGTTCTCTTTTCTAGGCCCAAAAGACTCCTTCAGTTGGTTTTTTTTTTTTTTTTGCTTCATGTGTGGGAAGAGACATCTTTTTGCAAGATCTGGCCACACGGGCCACCTCCCTACTTGGGGCCATCGTGGTGGTGGCTGCCTTTACAACAGGCAATTATTCGGAGTTCCTCTACCACGTCTCCTGCAGCCCTTTACCCTCCCTGCCCCCCAGCATGCCATCCCCCCTTACAAAAGTGGTTTGTATCCTAGAAGCATTTGTACTTGCCACACCCTGACCTAAAGGCAGAGCCCTGAATGCTTTCCACTGAATGGAGGCTGAGTCCCTTTGAGCCCTATTCTTTTCCATTCAGTTTTGTGCGAACGGGAACAGTGTGTGGGGTCCCACCTCCCAGTGGCTTAGCTCTGACTTCAGCCCTTGTGCTTCTGATGATCCTGTAACAGATGGGCTCCCAGGTCAGGTTAGCTTTGGTTCACAAAAAGCGCCGTCTGACTCAGAGAAGGTAGAGATGAGAAGGCCTCTTCCGTGTGCCAGCTCGGCCGAGCCAGGGGCACTCCAGTGGCCACATGAGAGTCTGTGCAGACAGGTGTCTTCCGCAGGATGGAGCGCACTGCGTTAAGCCAGACTTTTCTCAAAGGCATTTTTGATAGGTGTCGTTCACTCCATGTGCAACCCATACTTGTGTCTTTAAGTGATCTTTTTTTTTTTTTAACATTTTTGGCCATGCCACGTGGCATGTGGGATCTTCCCCAAACCAGGAATTGAACCCACATTTCCTGCACTGGAAGCATCGAGTCTTAACCACAGTCCAGTGTCTTAAACAGATTCTGTGTCTTAAACAGAACACCCAGGGCATGGTTGAGTCCCGCCTGGGGTCGGTGTCACCCACATTTATTACGGCCTGGCATGGCCTTTTGTGTTGGCCTCAGAACCTCTGCAGTGGAGTGAACAGGTGGGTTTGTGTTCATCCCTCTGTCATGGCTGTGTCTACAGCTAGGGACCATTCTTAACACAGGTTATGGTTTTGACTTCACCGCAGCACACAGAAGTGACTTCGTGTGTGTGTGTGTGTGTGTGTGTGTGTGTGTGTGTCCATCTTGGCTTTCCTTTCTCCTTCCATCTTGAAAGGCCCACCCTTGGAGGAGAGACTTAATATTTGGCATCTTCCTCCTGCTGCGTGTGACACAGGCTGCTGCCTGAAGGATTCACTCCCGGACTTTGCCTCTCTGCAGACTCAAAGCCCACAGTTGAGACACTGGGACCCACCGTGAAGAGCGAAGAGACCACCACCCCGTACCCCATTGACGAGGAGGCCACGGACTGTGGGGAGAACTGCAGCTTTGAGGATGGTGAGGATGGGGTGGTGGTTGTGTTTCATCTGGGGTGGCATGGGTGCCGGCCAGTCACAGTGGAGGCTGGTCCATGGCTGGGGCCAGGAACCTGGGGTCCCTTGGTCAGAGGTCAGGAAGGTGTGGTACTTAGGGGCTTGGGGCAGTGGCTATTTACAACCTATCGAGAAGGATTCAGATAATGGAAACACCAGTACACTGGTCATCAGCTGAAATAAGAGCCCATCCAAGGAGAACTCCATTGAGAAGTCTTCTTTCCGAGCCCTCACTTCCTATCTTTGGAATCCACAACCATGATTGCTGTGTCCACAGCACAGTCAAAGGGAGATCTGGCTGTCGGCTGGGTGAATTGGTCAGTGGAACACACTAGTTGGACTAACTCAGCAGTTAGCCGTGACTTACCGCATTTCCCTGTGTTTTCACATCACTGGTAGAGAAGGCATGACGGTATGACTCTAAGAGTGGGCACTGCATTCTCCACAAGGCGAGTGAGGTCAGTGACAAAGGCAGAATTTCGGAAAGGCACGTCACTTGTCCCTCAACACTCAGGGCCTCTTCATTTCCCATCGACCTCGTCACACGGGAAATCTATATCATTTTCATTTTCTCTGCTAAGCATATCCAACTCAGATTAAGAAAACAATAATTGGCAGAGCCCAAGAAGGACACCACATTTTAAATCTTCCTGCTAAGGCCACAGAATATGAGGACATTGCTAACAAACCACAAATTTTGGAACACCTGGCATTTTTGACTAGGATTAAATGCTTGACAGCCTCAATTTACAGTAAATTGCTGATCATTATTAACTCTTCATTAAACCAAATGAGGGAAGATTGGTGAAGAGACTGGGGAAGTGATGGAGACATAAAAACCTAGCACCCAGTCAGTGGATAGATGGATGGGAAAGTCTACGGAACCCATGCCCTTAGTCTATTGACAGTGTGAGGAACTGTGCTGATGGGGTAGACAGCTCCCAAAATGGCTACAAAGAAGAATGGGAGGAGAGCCAAAAATACATGCTGAAGTTGTATGACTGCAAAATGATAATTTAATGCATATGCTTTTAGGAATGTGCTTTTGTATATTGCGTGGGCTGGTGGTGGCGGGGGGGGGGGACACTCTTGGTCAGGGATAGTTGAATTCAGAATTCTGACATTTTAATGAACTTGTTTTTGTTTTATGAAGAGGAGAAAGAGACTTGGAGAATCTTCCAAGACATGTTTAAAAGAGTTTGAGAGCCAAAGGGGGAATGCATTCATTTACTGTGTGGTGTTGGATTAGCAGAGTTAGCTTGGTGGAGGGCAAAAGGAAGGTTTTTATCTAAATGCCAATCCAAAGGAAAATTTAAGAGTTCTGTTGCAAATCAGAAGTTTAATATAATTTTCCCGCTTATAGTGTGGTTTGTCTCATTTGGGGTTTCTTTAGTGGTTCCTCCCTTCTCTCCCTCTCTCTTTTTTTTTTTTTAGCAAAAGATCTCTTTGTGGAATTGGGTTCCTGAGATACAGTATGCATATAAACATTCGAGAGGAATTATGCTATATTGAATTACTCCATACTCTTGAATGGAAAAATAGAAATTTAGAAGTTGTTGGGAGAAGGGGATGGTGAGGACGAAGGGCTGACTTTTCCAAGCCACAGGTTGATGTTGCAGTAATAGATTCCATGTGTTTGTTCTCCTGCTGACTTTGGCCAAGGATGGGCAAATATTAAATATTCTTTCTTGGGAAGGGGAAGAGGCGAGCAGGACCCAGTGGCAATCTGCCGTGTGCCCCCAGGCCAGCAGGGCCCTCCCCTCAGAGGTGAGCCCTCCTCACCCCCAGGGTGGGAGCAGCTTGTTGCATCAGTCTGTTGTTCCCTTTTCACTTCCTAACCTGCATTCTAGGTCTTCCCCACGGAAATTCCTCTCTGGGAAGCCTGAGAAGGGAAGTGAAAAGGCCAAAGACCCCACTTCCTCCCTGCTCCCAGCATTGAGCAGCATTTTTCCGCTGTCTCCGCAGCCAAGAGTCCTAATTTTGGTTCCCATTTCCTTCCCCCCCCCCCCCCCACAACTTCATCACATGTTTGGCACCAGCTCAGACTGGATTTTTAGAGCTGAGTGGAACCTCAAAAGAAACTCTTGGGTTCAATCTATTCACTTAGAGGTGAACAGCCCTGCAGATGGAGACGAGCCATTGTGTGGTCTCCTCTTAGATTTCCATTCTCTGCTGCCCCTGGAATCCTGGCCTTGGGGCACTCCAAGCCATGTGAAATTATTCTTCCTCCTGATTGGCGCTGAGCTGGGTGGCAGGCTGGTCTGCCCCCACCCCCCTCGTTTTTGCCCTTAACATGCCAAGTTGCCCTCCTGGCAGCACCTCCCCCTGGGGATTCTGAACTGACTGGTCCCCTGAAACCAGAGACCTGGCTCAGGGAGGCAGACAAGCCCTCCTTGTTCCCGAGGTCACTTTCTCCTCCCCAGCCAGCACCTCCTGCATTCCGGATTGCAGCCTCTACGGGTGCCAGCGGGCTGCCCATCACTGCTGACAGCCAGGCTGGCAGGATCCCACCTTCCACCGAGGCGCTGGGGAGACATTCTTCTCTGGCATTTAGCGAACAGCGATTTTCACATTTGTCTGCTCTCCAAGGTGGACAGAAGAGGCTGATTAGAGCCTGCAGCCATTTGGTGGCCTCATTTATAATTGCTGACTATGGGAAGCACTGGCAGACTTGGCTTTCATGCCTGGGAAGGATGAGACCAAAGGCTGACCCGAAAGCCAACCATCGCCAAGATGGGTTCAATGAATAAGCAAAGGGGGCCACTGCTTTCGCTGCTCTCCCCTTAGGCCCTGCCAGCAGTTTAAATAGCACCACTGTGGCTGTTCTCCCGGCCCATTTCATTTGCCTTGTTTTGGGTTTTGTTTCCCTTGTAGACAAAGATTTGCAGCTCCCTTCAGGATTCAATTGCAACTTTGATTTCCCGGAGGAGCCCTGTGGTTGGATGTACGACCACGCCAAGTGGCTCAGGAGCACCTGGGCCAGCAGTTCCAGTCCCGACGACCGGACGTTTCCAGGTGAGCCAGCCGCGAGTGACGAGTTGATAGAGGACTTCCCTGGTGGCTTAGTGGTAGAGAATCCACCTGCAACGCAGGAGACACAGATTTGACTCCTGGGTCAGGAAGATCCCCTGGAGGGGAGGGCATGGCAACACTTTGCAGATTCTTGCCTGGAGAACCCCATGGACAGAGGAGCCTGGTGGGCTACAGTCCATGGGGTGGCCAAGAGTGCAACCTGACTGAAGCGACTTAACACAGGCACAAGACCAGCCTGCACCGTGTTTTTCAGCTCTAGACTCCCTGGCGAGCTTGCTAATAACTCCCCACCGTGGAGCAGTGCTCTGCTCTTGGCCCACAAACCACCAAGTCTTTGCTGACAACCTCACCCGACAGAACAGCTGGTTGGTGGTTCCCAGCCCTCTCTTGTGATTACCGGGCAGCCTGGAAGCTGGGAGGGAGGGAGAGAGGCTAAGGTAAAGAAGAAGAAAGAAAGAGCAGCTGGGAGTTCCTAGGAGAGGGCTGAGTCACTGTCCCTTTGTTCCCGTAGTCAGCGCTCGCCACCACCAGCTTGGAACCTCTGGTCAGCTCCAAGCTGGGTATTGTTCCTAAAATGGATCATTGGGAAACTCCTGGCACAAACTCCTTGCACGACTGCTACTTCTGGGTATCATCACTTCTGTCGAAAACCAAGTCAAGGGCCTGAACCACTTGGCCTCTCAAAGAGTATCGCTGCCAGTCCTTGGAATATGAGGAAGCCACCCCCTTGGTCTCAAAGCCTCTCCTGACGCTGCTGACAGAGCTGTTGTTTTTGTTCAGTTGCTAAGTCTTGTCTGACGTTTTGCGACCCCCATGGGCTGCAGCCCGCCAGGGTCCTTATCCTCCACCATCTCCCAGCTGCTGCTGCTGCTGCTGCTAAGTCGCTTCAGTCATGTCCGACTCTGTGCTACCCCTTAGACGGCAGCCCACCGGGCACCTCTGTCCATGGGATTTTCCAGGCAAGAGTACTGGGGTGGGTTGCCATTGCCTTTTCCCCCATCTCCGGGAGTTTGCTCAAATTTATGCCCATTGCGTCGGTGACGTGCTCCAACCATCTCATCCTCTGTCGTCCCCTTCTCCTGGGCCTTCAATCTTTCCCAGCATCAGGGTCTTTTCCAGTGAGTCAGCTCTTCGCATCAGGTGGCCAAAGTAGAGGGGAGGGGTTGTCTTTAGCCCTTCTAAGCAGGTAGAAACAAGTGTTATCCACACTCTGTACCATGGCAGGCTTTTAGAGCAGTGTTCCAGTAAGGTGTAACCACCAGGATTTTTTTTTTTTTAATCTGCTTTGTAATGCTTGCCACTCTGTGGTGTAAATCCTCCCACTGTGGTTGAATGCAAGCTACCAACATGACATCATCAGAGGCGGAGTGGAGAAGTAAGCAACACAGCCTTAGCTTTTTCCATCACGCAGATACAGTAGATATAAATAACTTCGGAATCATGTGTACCGGTAAGATGTATTAAAATAATTAGGAAGTATTGCACTTTGAGAATTTATTTCCTTTTGTTTTCTAATATACTTTATTTCTGGGTAACTTTATATTGTTCCATTGGTAATGCTTGTGTTTCAACAACTGGCTGACAAAATTCCAGAAAATTCCACAATCGGCTCTCTCAAGCCAGTACGTAGTAGATGTTGCTCCAGCACATCACGAGTTAGCTTTCAATGCTCCTGGACCCGAGGCCCCCAAAAGAGTTTGAGAGGAAAGAGGTTAATTCTAGAAATTAGTAGATCATACGTTGCCTGCCTAGAGAAGGAAAGGGGGAGAAGTGTCCCCTTGTGCAGAGTCTCACCCGCTGCCCCTCACCCCCAGGCCTGGCCGTGGCCCCCCCTCCCCAGGGGTGGCAGTGGGACAGATGCTGGGAGAGCACCACAGGCCGCCTTCTGACTCGGCCTGCACTTGCTTTCCCAGAGGGTCGTGGCGTCTGCTCTGGAGAAAAACATTTTCATATTTCAAGTGTTTATCTCTTCAGCATTTGAGTGCTCAGAGAGATTAATATCTGAAGATCACCACCACCCTGGGCAACGGGGGAGAGCACTTACCCTCATCCCAGCCTTAATCACCCTCCCCCTCTCGTTCACTGCAATAATGTTTAATTAATATAATGAGCCTCCTGCACGTTGGGAAAAAATACTTATTTTTATAACCCAGCCTGGATTTTTCATTTCATTTCCTCTCCTTTGAGACTTGGCCCAATTAATTGGTTGTTTTTCCCAACCCCCACTTTTTATACAAACGTAAAGGAGATTTGCAGGGTGTGTGTCTGTGTGTATGCACATTTATAGGTGTGTATTTGTGCATTGTGTGTATATTTTTGTGCATGTGTTTCTTTCTCGAGGTATTTGTGGTTGTGTCTGTTTGTGCATATGTTATGTTTTTATGTGTCGATTTTGTGTGTTTGTAAATATGAATATGCATGTGTTTGGTTTGTGTGCATGTGTAAAATGTGTGCATATGTGTGTGTCTGTATGTTTGTGTGTGAGTGTGTTTGTGGTTTATATGTATGTGTGTGTTTGTGTGTATAAGGGGACAGCTTGGCAAAGGCACTTTGCATGAAGGGGTGTAGATGATACAGCAAGGGGAGATTTACCGAATCTTATTCAGCATCCATCCTCGGGTTCTTCCTAACAATTCCACTTCCTCCCTTGCACTCTTCTGAGCAGATTTTCTCTAGGAAGGCCTGAGGTCGGCCCTGTCCAGGCTCCAAGGCCACTAATTTGCAAGTGACACTTTGGGAAGTGCTTAAGTTACTCTCTGTTCGACAAGGTTCCTCTCTGCCCGCTCCTCGCCCTGCCCTGGCCCTCACCTGATGCCCCACCAGTCGACCCCAGCTACTGGCTGGGGATCCTCATCCTTGCCCTCATTCCGCTTGATTCATCACAGCCTGCGGTTTGGGAGGGCTTTTCAGAGCAATCTCGAAGAGCGGGCGGCAGTCCAACCTTGGCTGGCTAGATAGGGACAGAAAGAAAATTAGGGCCATGAGGAACCACTAGGTCTAATGTTGTTTCTCCCTTAAGAAACTGAGAAAGAAAATAACAATTTGCCTCTTCCAGAGGAATCCCTGAGGTTTACAAAAGCGGCCCTTGGACACTGCCTCCAGAAAACCGAATCATAATATTGTCTTCAGAGCCCTCTGTCCATCCTGCGATGATTTAAAGAATTATTTGCTATATTTCCCACTCTCCTTCTCCTTACAAAACATGATGCTGGATTCTAAGCAGGAGAGGATAGAAAGCCCTTTCAGTTCAGGGTGGTCCTTTTTTCTTCTTCTTCTATTTCTTCAAAAAAAAAAACTGGGGCCCCGAGGGGAGCAGTCGGGAGAAAGGAAACAGCTGTGCTTGGTTAGGGGCAGGGCAAATGCTGACGGGTTCAAAATCACGGGGCCTTCTAAGTCAAGCCTGAGAGCCACTGTGTCAGCCACACTTCACCACTCCACGAAGAGGAGACCGCACCACTCTCTAAGTGTGCTGCGTGTTTTATCTCCTTGTTAGGTAGGTAAACAAAAGTAATTACACTTAAGAAAGGAGGTTTCTCCATCAAGTGCAGAGGGAGAAGACAGGAAAGAAAAAAGGAAATAGCCGAGTTGAAATATCATAACTGGCTATTTGATTAGAACTGTCTGTGGAAACGACTTACATTCCTCAGATGTTTTCTGATTTCGTTCTTTTCTCTTGTTTTCTTTTCCTTTTAAGTAAGCAATTAGTTCGGTTCTTCTGGCTAGTGGAAAGAGTTGCTTAAGGCTGACAAGACACCCTCTGGTTTTATTCCACTGTTTTGTTTTTCAAGATAGTCTTTCAAGACACTCAGAATTTCTTTTTTTAGCTCTTTGCTTGTGACTTAGAAGCCTGGAGCGTGTTCAGAGTAGCCCCAGGGGACCCTGTTCCGAATTCCTGGAGTGGGTTGCTGTGCCCTCCTCCAGGGGATCTTCCCGACCCAGGGATTGAACCCACATCTCTTTTTGTCTCCTGCACTGGCTAGGTGGGTTCTTTACCACTAATGCCACCTGGGAAGCCCTCTCTGAGAAGGCACTTTGCCTCTGCCCTGTAACTGCAACAACACTGAGAATGTCTCCCCTAGCGGGAGCCACTATATCATCCTGCAGACCTTCTCAGGTGCACTGATCAGAAACAGAATTTAGGTGCACTGGTTAGAAACAGAATTTTGAGGATGATCAGATTCAGCTCAGCAAGGAACAAGGCAAAGACTCCTCAGCAAGGAACAAGGCAGAGAGATGCTGTGGTGAACCTGTGTGTCTAGACCTGCCCTGCTTCATATGGTAGCCACCAGCCACCTGTGGCTAATTTAATTTTAATCAGAATTAAATACAGACAAAACTTCAGTTCCTCCATCATACCAGCCACATTTTTAAGGGCTCAGTACCCACTCTGTGTGGGGTGGTGCAGATGGAGAACACACCAGTCATCACAGGATGCTGTCTTGATCAGCACTACTCAAGCACCTTTTGACATGAATACGAGAGTAACTTCCAAGGCCCTTGCTGCTGCTGCGGCTCCATGGTTTGGTGTAAATCAAGAGGCAGATAATTAGGGGGATGTGTCTTCTCTTTGATCCTTTCATGGGAGTGTTCAACGCCTAGCACTTTTGTCACTGTGTCATTCTACCTGAGTAACACAGGTAAGTCAGCAAGTAACATAGACAGTGTCAGAACTATCCCATTCAATCAAAAAGAGTAGATACTAAGTAATAGCAATTATAGTAATAAAAATTGTTTTATTATTATTATCTTCAGGAATGTGACAAGGCTAGATACAAAGGGTGCTATGCCAGGTCAGCCTCAGTGTCTTCAAGTGTGTGGTCACCCTAAATGTGTGTTCTTTGATATGTTTGTTGACCTAATGAAGTATGACTTCAGTATTACTTCATTTCAGTAACTTTAAGTCGTGGAAGTAACATAAAGAAAACAGGCAAGAGCTACTGGGACTAGTTTGCCTTTCTAAAAGGACAGAGCTCTGGCTACCT